AAAGCAATCGTCTTCAGCGGTCAACGGTGGTGGTCCCTGGATACCGGAAGTGCGCAACCTATTGATGTTGGTCATATTAGAATAATAATGTCTCACCTTGGATTGTTGCAGACCAGACATCTGTCTGAGGATGGTGATGCAACCATCTTCATCCCGTCTGTAGCATCAATGGATGAGCTGAAAACAGTTGATAAGTTGTTATATAAGCTTACCTGGAAGCCATCGGTGCGAAATGTAAACTGAATTGAAGACACAAAAATAACGAAACTGATTGAATTCACGGATGGGAAGGGGGACTATTTTCTGTCGAAGTATTCACCACCACACTATGACTAGTATCTGGTTGTCTTCAAACCAGTAAAGTGGTATGAATTTAAACTTACTGCACAAAGGTCTCAGTGTTGCTCACATTCGCCAGAAGTGGTTTTGGTGGCTTTGCTAGCGAAACTGTTTAAGAGTACATCCGCTGTGCTGGCTTTGTTACCGGCTGGTCAACTTCAAAGTCAGATAGAAAACCTGGCGCTCTGTACAAAAGTAATGGTAAGAATTATGTTTTCTTACATTTTACTTTATGCCTGTGATGACAACGGAGCGGTTGCGTCTGATGAAGGCACTTCTGCCTCAGCTTGATAACGTTCTTCATACATCAACGCTTCCGAATAGTTGTCTATGTAAAGAACCATACATTTATTCTGGGGAAGCTCATCTGTAGTTTGAAGAATGTTAACTTTGTGAATGGTCGCTCCCTGTGGAAGATCTATTCCGTCTTTCAGCAGTTTGTGCAATACTTTGGTAGTCACTGAACCATGTTTTGGCCAAAGTACCTCATCTTCGGTTAAGAACCCCTTTCGTGAGCAGTGGAAACCTAATCGCCTGAAAATTTCACCAAGGAATACATCTAAAATAATACTTGTTATTATTAATTATTTGAAGAAAAACGTCATGCTCGATATGGGTTGTAAGCAACAAAAAGAAGTCTTCGTAAAGATGTATATATTTTCGAAGTTTGTCATCCATTTGGCATTGATTTCAAGTGTATTCCCTATAAAAGTTAATTATGGTCCTGGTAAACTAATTAATGACCTTCATGTTTTCTAATTATGCAGGAGTGAATAAAACACAAAACCTGTTTTGTATTTCATGGCATTCGCAAGTAACTTCTTCCTTTGAGATGGTTTCCTCCGTCGTTAGCCGTTCACGTCAAAAGATGTGAAAATCTGTTGGTATGACCTAACTTTCAAAGAACGACTGCACTATGTGAAATGGTTGAATCCGTAAATGCTTATGTCCAGATCCAATGACCTTGCAGGTTTCGCATTATTAGGAAACGCAGTGCCTGATTCAAATGATATGACTGTAGTGTACTAGCGAAAGGTACAAAATTCAAAATTACCTGTAATTCTTTACCTTGCGGAAATTCTTCATGTCATTATGCATTGGATGTCATCCAAAGCACTGTTTGCTAAAGCAGTCGAATCAATTGCCCGTTTGCTTAGACATGGAAACACCTGCGAAGCAGGCATTTTGGAAGATAAAACTATTCCTCCCAACTGACCTATATATGCTTGAAACGAGAATGCGGAGTATTGGTCCAATGGCCGACGTAGGCGTACGTAGTCAGCGAGATGATACGAGCAATGCTTGTTGTACACTAACTCGCTTTCTCCGTACAGCGCAGCGAACTGATTCAACAACCACTGTATTACTTCTTCAACAAAGTCAGCATAATACTTGCACAGCCCGGGATAGCATAGCATGTTTATACATATTGAAAAGTTTAAAAGATTATCATACTTATTCGTTCTTAAAATCCCTCGAAGGACGACTGGACCAAGGTATAGTAGGGACTGTTGAATTCCGAGGCCCTCCATGTTTCAAAGTCGTCAAACCCATGACATTTGCGTTGAAAATCGCGGGGCAAGCCACTCCGAATTGCTTCTAATCTATCGGATATTTGCCTGAGTTGTCCTGCATTCAAGCGGACGTTATGCAACACGGGTCCACTTCGCCACAAACTCGTCGCATGTCCGCAGTACCCTAGACAAACCAGGTGCAGATATTCCAACGGGAAACCAAGCACCAAAGGGAAGCATTTCAAACGGTGATTCGCTTGTGTGATGACGCTTGTTTGGACGTGAACGGAACTCCACACCTGTTCTTTTATTTTCCGTTATAATAGGGAAAATGATCTTTGCCCATTGTTGAAACCCTAGCAGTGCAGCGTTCATAGAAATGGTATACATTATGGGATTTGGTTTTGCAAACCTTCGCACGGGCTGGCAAATGGCAAATCTATAGTGATCTAGGCCTACGCGATGACGGCTATCCTGGAGCGGCACGTTACAGTTTCTGGACACATGCGATCGATCAAATTTGAAAGGTGATGTCAGTGATGCGCGTGCAAATTCCGACTGCACACCATAGACAGGTTGTCCCAGCCAATCCGAGACAGTGCAGACAGAAGTGTACAGTAAGCAATACTGCAAAACGATTGGTGGAAGCCTAGATAAACAGTGATCTTGTTTTATACATATTATTTAATCACCTTCATTTCAATCAATAAACGAAATACGAACTACCACTCTTGTGGGCTTCTCCCCGCGTTTCAGTTAAGTAAGCCATTGCGTGTTAATGTCATTGCGGTTCAGTGCTTCCGTAATTCAGTCCGTGACAGTCGATCCTCGATCCGTGTTCTGTGATTCCTATTTCGTGGTACGTGATCCGACTTCCGTGCGTAACACTACTACTACTACTNCTACAATCATTACACGTTGGCGTCACGTGATGGAGCTCCCAACGATTGAGCAACTGAACCCGCAGGCAAGCCCATCTGAGATCGAGGAATTGGTCGAACAATTTCAACTGTGGTGCAGTATTTGCAAAGGTGGTGCACAGAACCAATCAGCCCTATTTCTTACTGTTGGAGGCCGTGACCTCTAGTCCCTGTAGCGTTTCCTGAGGCTCCGGCTAAACTACCATACGAGTCCCCAAAAACGTTGCTGCTCAGCCACCTGCTGCCCACTGAGGTTCAAGCACACGAAAGAGCCAAGTTCAAATCTATAATTCGTGCTGATCATGTTTCCTGCCGTAACTATATCCTGCAGCTGAACAAACAGGCATCACGCTGCAACTATGGTGATCGCCTGGAAGAACAAATGTGTAACCACTTGGTGGCAGGCGATAGTAAGCTGACTCTCCAACGGAAGTTGCTGAAGAAGAAGGATTTAACTTTTACCGCGGCCCGCAAGATCTGTGAGCAGCACGACGACCTATTGGAAGCCACCTCCAACGAAGCAGTCACATTATTTCAATGGCAGAAGACACGACCAAACCAACCTCCGATGACCAATTGTATACCGAAGCCGCCGAAAGACTCTTCAGGCACCGATAAATATATCAATCCCTGTTTGTCATGTGGAGCTTACCATCTGCGCTCCAATTGCCGCTTCCGAAACGCCAGGTGTCATGCGTGCTGGAAAACTGGCCATATCCGGAGAGTGTGCCAACAACCCCATTGCAATCTCGCAAAGTCATCGGTCTACAAGGAAACCAGCCCTGTGTTTTTCCTACGAACACAAAGCCAATGTGACCATTACCTATACCAAGATGTGACATTACAGTCAGGAACGAAGCATAAATTCATTGTGGATAACGGCAGTACGGAAACTATCATTTCTACTAAAGTGCTCCGATTCATCAGTTCGCAAACAACTGTGAAAATTATTGGCCTTACGGTCCTACAAACATCCACTGGTGGGGAAAGTGTCGTTATTGGTTCTATCGGCCAAAGATTGCCTCATTCCAATTCCATTTGGTTGCTGAGANGTCTGAACGCCATACGGCAGTTTCAGAAACCTGTCCCATTAAATTCCAGCCAAATACCAACTGCCCATGCTCAGTGGCGGAGGCTGACCACGTGTAGTCCTACTAAAGTTGACAATGTCCACATAGTCCTTCAAATCGAGAGTTATTGGTCGCCGACATTTACGCACAATGTCACATTGCTCCTGTTTGCACAGTGCAAATTAGAATTTGGTAAGAATGATGAAAAGTGTTATTTCATCGGCACCTCGTTTTTTGATTTATTTGCACATGTGTACTGCAACGCTGTCCAAGTCATGCCCCCTGGAGAGCTGATGATATTTCCAACAGATAGTCCTGAACATTTCTCTGTCGACCCATTCCTATGCTGAAAACAATTTGGCATCTTCGGGTTTTGTTACCATTTGGTGTTCTAGACACAATGGTCGCCCAGGTCTCCGTCGGCAACTCATCTTCGGAGTTTCTACTCCTAGGGCATTGACCGGCTTTCAGTTTTCCCTTGGCCTCCTGGTGTTGGTCGGCCTTTGGTGTGGTTTACACCAGTCGGTGATTCCTGACGACTTTTCTCCCCAGCTTCATCGTACGTGGTGTGCATTTGCTCAGCAGTGAAACCGCTGCGGGTGTCACCTGCTTTACCTGTTTCTCATACACGCCTGGATGGCGTTTCGAACCACTGTTATTCTGTTCACCCTTTTTATTACCTCCTTTCGCTTTCCCTATGCTGGTATACCCCTTTATGGCCTGTTTTATAATTGTCCCTGTGACGGTTTTCAACAGCTTTTATACATAATACTACTCTAATTTCATTATCTTTCTTTTCTTATCCCTTCTTTCTCAACTCAACATTTAACAGTTGTTTTAACCGGCCTCCTCATTACCCGCTTGGTATCTTTGTAATCCCGCTCCGTAGTTTTCTCAATTGTTTTTCGTTTTGTAACTGGGACCTACGACAGTTTCGTAAGTTGCAAATATGTATTGATGTAGGCCTATAATAATAATAATAATAATAACAGTCAACATCGTTGTTTACCAAAATGTCATAATAATGTATATTTCACGAAGTCCGTGAAGTATGTTCAAAGCATGATCATATGTTCAAAATAATCATATGTACTTCAAAGGTGCAGATATATAGAAGGTCCAATTAGAAGATATACACAATGGAGACGGTAGTGGGACTGGACTGAAAGCGCAGTGCAAACGGAACACAAAGCGGACAAGGTGACATACGTAGATGTGGAGGATGGAGGAATACACTGGGTAAGCATGTCAACGGAAATTAAAGAAAGAGCGAACCTTGTATTGAAAAGATTTGATGTGCAGAATTTATGGGAGGAAAGGATGGATCGACGGTCT